AAAGGTCTAAAAGGGCTAAATTATTGTGGTATATATTTCACCACTATAATATATATATAAATTATAAGAATCACCAAACTGAAAAAAAGAAAAGTCGGGGCAGCAGGGTACTACTATAATCATCAGTCTCCATCGATATTGTTCCTAGATACACATTGCCCCATCCCATGGAAGAGAGATAACCAGATATTAAGTAAATGTCTAATAATTTGATTTTAGACATTTAGAATAAAACACATATGGTGTTTTATTCATGGTCTTTACAGTCTTTCTGACTTTCTAGTAATTAGGAAATCAATTCTCACCTTATAAGCATTTCTAATTTGGGAAGGACCTGAATCAGATTCTTAACACTCATCATGCAAATTCAAGACTCTGTCAAACATTTACATAGGTCCACGTCTGTGAATTAAAAGGTTGAAACAATGACAAATCTTACTACAATTGGCAAATTTGTACAGTACAGGGAAAGTAGAACGAGAAGACGGTATTGACTTCTACCAGTTAAGGAAACCAGACCACTTGAATGCTTGTTCAACTTTGAGTTGTTGCTTTGAGATATTATAAATCTATTCTTTCTAGACACTGACTGAAATTGACCAAGAGGAAAACATAAATTCTTGTTGACTTAATTTGCTATTGAAAATTGTAGTCAATAATCATGAAAAGTGACTGGCTGTAGAATACAATATTAGTTGTCCAAGAAAAGATTAAAATTCAAGTAATCTTCAGTGATTAGACAAAGACAGTAGCTAAAATGAAAATCCATGACCCAATGACCCTGTTAAGCAGCCCACATTAAGGTTTGCTTTGTTCTTTGTTCGATTTTATTTCCAGTCTCAGTCTATTTGATGGTGCCCATTTAATGGGCAGATAAATCAGTTCAAAAGCACAAGGGTACTCTTAGGATTGCAGCTGTCTAGTGTCAGTATGAAACATGAATATTTTTAAATAGAGTTTTGTAAAATGGAGTTCATCAGTATTTCAGTAGAACAATGTCAGTTCAGTGGTTCATTATGTTTTGGTGTTGCAATAGGACAATTTGTACACACAATTTGAAATGTGTTACAGGAGTATGTGTGTGTTATAGATCTCAAAGTAATGTATAAGTGTACTCTATCTTAAGAAAATGTTGTTGCTGCTGTTAAGTGCTGCTGAGTCCGTTCCAACTCATATCGACCCTGTATAGGGTTTCCTAGGAGCAGCTGGTGAGTTCGAACTGCCAACCTTGAGGTTCAAATTGACCTTGAGGTCAAGTGCTTATCCTATGGCACCACATCAGACTCCATCTTAAGGAAATATTTTCCCTTAATTATTTATTGTACCATTTATTCAGTGATTAAGCAGTTGATGGGACTAAACTATACACAGAGCCCTGGTGTGGCACTGTGGGTTAATACACTGGACTGCAAAGTCATTTGAAATGCAAAGTCGGTGGTTCAAGCTCACCAGCCCATTCCTCGGAATCCCTATACAGGGTCACTATAGGTCAGAACCAACTGGACGTCACTTAACAATAACAGCAAAGTTGTTGTTGTTGTCAGGTGCCATCAAGTCGGAACCGACTCATAGCGACCCCATGCACAGCAGAACGAAACAATGCTCGATCCTGGGCCAACCTCACCACCGCTGCCACCCCCGAGTCCATCAATGATGCCACCTGGCCGATCCATCTCGTTGGAGGTCTTCCTCTTTTTCTTCTGACCCTCCACCCTACCCAGCATGACATCCTTCTCCAACGATTGTTTCCTCCGGACTACATGTCCAAAGTAGGAGAGACGAAGCTTAGCCATCCTGGCCTCCAAGGAGCACTCTGGCTGCACTTCTTCCAAAACAGATCTATTGGTTCTTTTGGCAGTCCATGGCACCCTCAGTATTCTCCTCCAACACCACAACTCAAAGGCATCAATTCTTCTACGATCCTCCTTATTCACTGTCCAGCTTTCGCATCCATATGAGGTTATTGAAAACACCATGGCTTGGGGTCAGGCGCACCCTAGTCCTCAAGCTGACATCTCTGCTCTTCAATACTTTAAGTATATACTGTATTTTCTAAAAATTTCTAATGAACACAATTCTTGAAATATTGCAAATATCACAGTGTGGAGTACTCCATTATCCATTTCCATTTATCACAGAATTCTGCTTCAAATATATGCGTTTATTCTTGTAAACATCTATTTCTGTATCTATATATTTATAGTCTGTATAGAGCTATACCTATAGGCATGCATGTATCTGTATATCTGTAGGCATCATTAGGAGTGTGCTGGCTATGTAGGATAAGCCCTGGACTGCAAACCACAAGGTCAGCAGTTCAAGTCCAACAACTGTTCCAAGTGAGAAAGATTAGGTTTTCTGCTTCTGAAAAGATTTTCAGGGTTCATCCATGTTGTGGCATGTATCAGAACTTCAGTGTCTTTATGGTTGAAAAAGACTCCATTGAGCGAATGGATTACATTTTGCTTATCCACTCATCAGTTGATGGACACTTGGGTCGGTTGATGAAATGGAGCTTTTGCACTGTTTCTTCCCACAAATATAGTGAATTTGATTTCTGTGGATTCCATTTTGTGAGTCCATGTGTAAAGTCATGTTTTATGATGTTTAAAAAAGGTATTTGCAATGAAGAAATCATTGGTCTTGCAAAATGTGATCTCTAGCATCTTTTCTATCTCCAAGGCCATATTTACCAACTACTGATCCTTTCTCTTTGATGCCTACCTTTGTAGCCCAATCACCAGTAATTACCAATATATCTTAATTACATGTTGGATCAATTTCAGACTTAATCAGCTGGTCCTCAGTTTCATCATCACTGGCTTTACTGATTCATGTATATATTTGAATTATACTAGTATTAACTGGTCTTCCCTGTAGGCATATGAACATTTTGCTATCACAAACAGCATTATATTTCAAGATAGACCTTGATATTATCTTTTTGATGATGAACGTGGCACCATTCCTCTTCAACTTGTCATTCCTGGCGCAATAAAACATATGGTTGTCAGTTTCCAAATGGACAATACGAGTCCATCTCAGCTCACTAATGCCTAATATATTGATCTTTATGCATTCCATATCATTTTTGACAACTTCCAATTTTCCTAGATTCATACTTCCTACATTCCATGTTCTGATTATTAATGGATATTTACACCTGTTTCTCCTCACTTTGAGTTGTGCCTCATCAGCAAATGTAGGTCCTGAAAGCTTTATTCAGTCAACGGTACTTTGAGGAGGCAGTTCTTTCCCTATCTAAGACAATGCTTTCTAGCCTGAGTGGCTCATCTTTCAGACACTATATCTGACAATGTTGTTGTTGTTATGTGCCGTGGAGTCGGTTCCGACTCATAGAGACCCTGTACAGGGTTTCCGAGGCTGTAAATCTTTACGGCAGCAGAAAGCCTCATCTTTCTCCCACGGAACAGCTGGTAGTTTCGAACTGCTGACCTTGCGGTTCGCAGCCTGATTCGTAACCACTATGCTACCAGAGCAATATTCTGGTGTTATTCATTATGTATCAATATTCAATATTCTGGTACTATCTGACAGTGTTCCATTGCTATTCATAATGGTTTCATTTGCTATCGTTTCAGAAGTAGCCCATTTTTGTTTTTTCCTTGTCTGTCTTCGTCTTTCTAGACGAAGCTAAAACCTGTCCACCATGGGTGACCCTGCTGATGTTTAAAATACCAGTGCCATAGCTTCCAGCATCTCAGCAACATGCAATCCACAGCAGCACGAAAAACTGACAGACAAGTGGTGATCACAATCATATAAAGCTTTATTAAGCAAAAATATAAAAATGTGAAGCCATTCTTTCTCAACATATACTCCATCTAGGTCTATACACTTCTGAATGTGCTGTGTCCATCTCTCTCACCTGTCCCCCAAAGAATTCTGCTTTCTTTAATTTACATCTTCAAGGAACAAAAATCAAGTTTCTTTTCAATGTTCTTTGAGTTTGGGGGCACAAAAAGGAAGACTAAAACAACGAGGTAAGGTCTGTATGGTGAATGGTGTTAGGTTTCTCATAGCACAGTCCTTGCTCCCTTTCAAGAACAAACAAATAGGTGCACTGTTGTGATGGGGAGATTTTTTTCAGCACAACTTTCCTGGACTTTTTCTCACCAATGGATTTTTACTTTTATTAAAACTTCTTCCTAATAAACTCTTCTTTTGACATTGGAGAGAAAGAGGCAAAGATAAGGGTAGCAATTTTCTAGGTGAGGGTGTGTGGAATTGAGGATGTCTGTCTCTAACAGCATCCATTGTCTCTGTGAAGAAGCAAGGTCCACTGTGGGGAGGTTGGAAGGCTTGGAAACACGGTGAGAACGTGAAGTCAAATTGCTGCCTGGGGATAAGGGTTGGGGGCTGTGGCTCTGTGGTAGGCTCAATCTGAACTACAGTGTGACTTTTCTCTAGAAGCACTATAGTCTGGGTATGAGTACAGGGAGGATAGATTAATTGATTAACTGTGATTGAGATTGAGCAGAAAGACAATGGATGGGTTTTTTAGAGTATCATTGAGATATTCCTGTGCCCTTAGAGAAAATCTATCAGGATTTCACCTTGGAAATCCCAAAGCTCCATCCACCACAACCTTCTGAACTGTCTTCTCTGCTTTGTATTTAACTGACCTAGCACATCCCTTTCAAAAGGCATTGTTTAGATTGGACTTTTTTAGAATACACCTTAATGAGACAACACAAATGTATCACTGCAAGAACCTATTTGAAGTCACCTACTGATCACAGAGACATGTTTAAGCATGTTTTGCTTGAAATAGACCCATGCGTGTATGAACTGGGACCCTAGTAGCAATACTTCTTGACTTGCCTTCATATACCCCTCACCAAAGGTAAAGGGCCACCAAGTAAAATGTTACTTTAGCTGAAAATACCAGCGTTGTGTGGATAAAAAAACAAACCAACAGAAAACCAGAATCAAGAGAGACAAAGCTTTATGATACCCTATGCTTTCTGTTTCCTCAGAAATAATTCATCCCGGAGAGCAAACAGAAGGAAAGAAGAAAAACTGTTCCCTCCACCACTCTCCCCACTACCAGAGGACCCTCCACGCCGCAGAAACATCAGCGGCAACAATACTCCCTTCAGTCATGAAAAAATCTTCCCTGTCACTGGTCAGATCACCTTGACCAAACCTAAGAAAAGTGAAGGCAAATTCTGTGCGACTTTCAAAGGGATATCTGTGAATGTAAGTGTCTTCAAAGAATTAGTATAAATGTCCAAAGAGAAACAAGCTAGCCCAGCTCATCTCATGCAACTTGAGTAGATCGAGATAGTGCAAGGGGATGGGAGGGAGAGGCAGAAAGAAAATTCATGTGTATTGTGCATACATAAATATACAAATTCTCCATGATTTCAAATCTAAATTCTTACAGCTAACCATGAACTTTTCATTCCAGGTTAACTCTCCACCTTGTCTTACTTCCCCAGTCAGGTTGCAGGCCTTAGAGAGCCTCTAGTCCAATCCCTTCTTTTCTTGGGTGTGGACTGTAGATACTTCCATAATGCTGACCACCGCAGTTGACATTGGTTCCCTGTGATGGGACTAAGCAAGCAATGTCTCTTCCTTGGTCACTTCTCTCTATTGATGTTTGAAATCTGGAAGCCCTTCTGATGCACTGTTTGTTGCCCTGGGAGTGAAGAGAGTTGAGATATAGTGCTAGCACCCCAACAGATGACTTCTGAAATGTCTCTGAGCTCCTGAAATCAATGGATTTGACTGGATGATCTTGTAGATTCTGGCTGGCCTCTTCCAGCTCCACAAGCGTTTTCAATTTGGTGCTATTAGATGTCTTCTCTAGTCCATTTAGGCTAAAGTCCTGTTTGTTGATTCAATGGGTGGGTGAGTGTGGGCAGAGTTTGTTTAATTTATACGATCATAGCAGACTCAAGCTATTCCAGTCTGATGTGCCAGAAGTGACATCAGCATTGTGTGTGTGGTGGGCGTGATGTGTTAGGGTTCTTGCCACAGGCCTTGGTCACAGAGACAAATGGTGCTGACTTGGGCTGACTCCACTGTTTGGTCTGGTCCAGTCGGGCTCAGAAACCCAGAGCTAGTTTAGCCGTTTCAGATGGCTCTGATTATTTTATGTTAATAAGATGGTTGAATAAAATCCACGATGATCCGTAAAATATTTCCTCCATACCCATCATAACTATTTTCAGATGTGCAGTCTCTGCACACATTCTCAGTGAGCTCTTGGTGGTCAGAATTCTTTGATAATCAGAAGGTCCTGGGTCAAGTGGGAAAGATTGATGTTCATGGACACAAGAACTGTTCACATTTGGCTTTTATTTTTAAAGTGACCCTTCTGACAAAGGCAGGACTGCGTGCACACTGAAAGCACTAGACTGGGGAGTGTAATACATCAGAGAGCTCGCAATCAAACAAGGCACAAGACATGTGCCCAAGGAACTCGGATGGAAAATCCTTCGTTGCCTGTGTTGTAGGGAAGGCAGAGAGACAGGCCTTTGACTGGCCCATGACTATGCACACATCACAGATTTCCTAGAAGAGGAAATCAGGTCCTAATGGATAAGTGAGGCTTAAAAATGAAGTCCATGGTGACCCCATGTGTTAGAGTAGAACTGTACTTCATAGGATTCTCAGTGGCAGAGTTATCAGAAATAGATCACCAGACCTTTCTTCTGAGGTGTCTCTAAATGGACTAGAACTGCTAATCCATTCATTAGTAGTCAAACACTTAACGTTGTCACCCAGGGACTCTTGTAGAAATGAAGAGAAGGCATTTCTTAACACAAGACGGTATAAAAACGAAGTATTCATTTTGAATGAAGCAGAGGCCCCTGGAAGGGGTCAAAAGGTGAAGCCAGGTCAGGCAGAGCTTTGAATGCCAGAAAAGAGTTGCGACTTTAGTTTGCATTTGAGTACAAAGCAGTGATATGCCCTGCCCGGAGCTTTGTTAAGGAAGCTCAGACTTCAAGCAGCAGATTTAAGGGGGCCAGGAGAAGTTAGTGTGCAGGCAGTTTAGTCGTCTCAGGAGTCCAGCAGATGCACAGAGATCAAAGTTGATTCTTTGGGACCAAGGGTTAGTGGGAGGGGGAGGAGGAGTTTCGGTTATTGGTGAACAGAAAATTTGGAAATGGTGATGGGTGCACATGATAGCGACTTAATGTCACTGAAATGTATGTGCAAAAAAAAACAAAGGTTGAAGTTGCAAACGTTTTGTTATATATATTTACCATGATCTAAGAAAAATCAAAGCAAAAATAACTCATGAAGGGCTGAATTAGGAGGCTGAGGAGAAGGAAGGGGCAAGTTTGGGAGATCTAGGGATTGTAAAGTCAACAGAACTTGTTAATTTATAGACTAAGGGTAATTGGAAGGAAGAAATACTATAAAATAGGGCAGTGGTTCTGAAAAGAAGAACCCCAAAACACTTTAGGAGCATCTACAGAAATTTAATATGTAAAGAAGATTAAAACACCTTAGATGAAAGCATGTGAGCTGGGGGATGGGGGTGGGGCAGCTCTCCAGGTACTGCCAAAGTGCCCTACCCTGGTTCCCTGCCAAAGTACTCACTGGTGTGGAAAAATCCAGCTTAGTGACAAAGGACTGTCCTCCCATTAAAAAGTAAAGTGGGCAGGCTGGGTCCAATTAGCTATTGGTTGGAGAGTCATTTGAGGTGCTAATAATAGACCATATAGGTTGAACTTTTCAGGGGTTGTGGAGTTCAGGAGAGAGAGGGTAAGACAGGTTTCCATTGGGAGTTCTCTTTATGGTTGAAGCTGTTCCAACACATACAGGAACTGAGAACATTGAGGAAAGAACCTTGGTGAATAGCAGTGTTAGGGAGATACCGACTTAGGAGAACAGAGGTGAGAAGACGCACCATGTCAAAGGTAGGGGAGGTTGCCAAGTGGGGAGGGCAGAGTCTGCCATGTGACCATGGTAGTCAGTCCTGTGACACAACGCCATCACCAGAACAGAATTACACATCTTACCACCTGTTTTCTTCATGGGGCCTCAGCTCCCCTCTAATAATGATACTTCTGAGGGTAAACCCTTTTGATTTTTGACCTGGTTGAAATGATACTTCCCCATCCCAAGACTTCAAACTCAGGAGGCACAGTCCTGTAGGATTAACTGGTTAAATGTTTCATGTGAACAAAAGGACTGCTTTCACATTGGGCACAGTGTGCTGATGATTACCAGATAATGCTTGCGTCGCTGGTAGAGGATGGCCTCCTTTTACTGCACTTTTTACAAATTGAAGGTTTTGGGCAACCCTGCATTGAACAAGTCTGTCAGCATCATTTATCCAACAGCACGTGCTCATTTAGCATCTGTGTCCCAGTGTGGTAATTCTCATAATATTTCAAACTTTTAATAATGCTATTGCACGCTTACTAGGCTATAATATAGTGTGAGCATAACCTTTATATGCACTTGAAAACGAACAAATTTGTATATTTTATTACAATATTTTCTTGACTGTGGTTGTCACAATATCTCTGAGGTTTGCCTATATTTTGCTGGACTAGATCTGGTATTTTGTAGAGTAACCTGGTATGGTGCTGTAGGATAAAAACTAGGCTGTGAACCACAAGATCGGTGGTTGAAACCCACCAGCTGCTTCTCAGAAACCCTATACAGGGTCACTATGAGTGGAAACTGATTCGATGGTACTCATCAACAACAACCTGTGTGCTCTATCCACTCTAGAGATAGTTTCTGGCCTGGTTTGCCTATCAAAAATATTAACATCAGTGTCAAAAATTCCACTGAGGCGATTTTCGTTTTCTTTTTCAACCTCCCACTATATATATATATATGGAGTCCTACCGTGGTGCTGTGGGATAAACACTGGACCATAAAGTTGGTTTGAACCATAAGTTTGGCAGTTCAAACTCACCAGTCGCTCCTAGACTATAAGCCAGAACCCACTTGACAACATTCAATAGCAACAATGGTTTCTTTGAATCTTGTTCTTCAGGCTTCAGCTTAGTATTAACTAACTTTAAATCTTCCTACAGTCTTCGCTCTCCCCCACCGCTCTTAACTAAATTCATTGCCTGTTACTAACAGTCTCCCCTCTCCCCGACTCAGACCCATCTTCTCAGAAATTCCTCATTGCTGGTGTTGACTTGTTTCCTGCTGAGACAGGCCATACCAAAAGTGACTTGAGACCCCCTTCTTTCCATGTTCTAACTACTTAACACTCACATTTCTAATAGGATTTGAATCTTTGCAAATAGCTTTCTAAATGGGGTGACAGGATCACAGCACCTGGTTAGCTCAGATTTTGGTGTCATCCTAGAACAAAAGCTGGGTAAACAATATGTCCGGGCCCAGTGGAGCACTAGACCTCAAAGTTGGTTTAAACCGCAAGGTTGGCATTTCAAACCCACCAGCTGATCCTTGGAAATCCTAATCAAGGCCATTATGAGTCAGAACCAACTCCATGGCACTAACAAGACCAGCAACGTTCCTCTTCAAGCCGTACACATTGTTTTCTTTCCTCCTGGCTTTTTAAAAAACCCAGTGTGCTTGATATTCATGGAATTCATGAAAAGACGTTCTACAGAGCGGAACCTAATGGACGCTATTTGTCTTCCTTTTTTCCCAGGAGGGAGATATTCCAAAAAAGGCAGCCTCTGCCACCATTACTGCACCAATCAGTGCTACTGCCATTGTCACTGCCACTGTCACGGCCACGGCCACGGCCACGGCCACCACCACAACCACTACCACCACCATCTCCACCATCACCTCCTCCATCACTACTGGCCTCATGGATAGCAGTCACCTGGAGATGACGTCCTGGGCATCCCTGCCTCTTCTGTCGAGCAGCACCACCAATGTTCGGAGACCCAAGCTCACTTTTGATGATTCGTATGTTGTCCCCAGATTCTCATGGACAGAATTTGAGAGCAGTGATGGCGGGGTGGGGGTGGGGGGTTGGGGCTGGGGTCTTATGGCTATTTCTAGTTCCATGTGTGTATTACTCAGAATAAGACTTCAGCACCAGCTCCTATAACCTTAAATATGTACTCTCCACACCACATCATACCTGCATATCCCTGTACCCACCAAGAAATGGCTTTGGCCCTTGTTTAGTTGTGGAACTTTTTGCTGTTTCCAAAGGCAGGTACTTAATTCCAGGTTGATTTGTCCTCCTCTCTTATCTGTGTTCTGCTCTACAAATGTGTGGCCACAAATAGATAAGCATCTTGGTTTGGTATTAAACGGGTTGGAGGATGCACTGACAGGATTATTTCAAGATTGGTTTTCACATGAAGGATGTACTCATCTGCCTTTTTCAAGGCATTTTAGAGCAATAGATTTGTAGAAAACAAAACAAAAACACAAAACAAGTTTTGTTGTTTTGACTCTTCAGTCTTTTCATCAAAAAATGAAAACCGATAACACTGGTTTCTGAAAAAGTGTGTGTTTTGTTTGTTTAGGGTTCACAATGCTGATTATTACATGCAGGAGGCGAAGAAACTGAAGCACAAAGCTGATGCCCTGGTAGGTTCCCTTCCTCTCCTGGCTTCCCTCCCATTATGGTATTAGGCTCTGAAAGAAAACAAAGGCGATAGTTTACAAACCAGTCCAATGTTTAGGAGCACAGCCCCAGCCTATTCTGTAGCCCTCTTCCTCCCCTTATCCCAACTTCCGGAGCAAAATGACATATATGATGATCTTGAAAGTGAATTGAAAATGACTTATGACACTTCCCCAGAGTGAGGAGTTTTCATCGGCTCCTGCCAACCAACACTGGTTCCGGGGAGAGACTTGTTGAGGGCTTGCTGAAATTGGAAAACTCAGATTTTTAATAATCCGCTTAGCTCCTGTTGCATTTGATTGCATGTTTCTGGCTGGGACCCTGAGCAGAGAAAGAAAGTGTTATCTGTCAGGCAGGTTTCCCAAGAAAAATGGCCCAGTTGTCTCCAAGTGTTTTGACCACCTAGACCTTTCTTGTTTGTGGAGTTCTGCTCTCATGTGTCAGTTCTGTCTCTCCTTTATCCCATGTTGTGCATGTACCTGGTATCCATGATGGAGTCTAAGATTTCAAGATGGATTCTGTTGCACAGGCATCTGGGATACTTGGAATGACTGGTTTTGCGCCTACGCTGAAAACTGGTTAAGGGGGAGGTTAATGTGGAACTGATGATTAATGCTCACCCCCCCTGGTTGTTGAATAAGGAGGGAGGGAGGGCTCACAAACCCTGTTGGGTTCTAGACACACAAGGAGATAGGTTTTTTGTTGGTTTTGTTTTGTTTTGTTTTCCATTTTATCTCTTTTGTATCCTGCATGCCTGGCAAGGACATAGATAAGAGATCTTGTCCACATCCTGCTCCTCTGTTCTTTATATTTGGAGTTTTATTGATTGTTTCCCAATGCTGCTTTTCTGCTACCCCCGTAATTTTCCTCGGCACTTTCTCTCCTTGTCTCTTACCCTAACAACTTGACTGATTCTCCCTACAGTGAGCCTCAACTCTGACTATACATTACAATTACTCAGGACCGTTCGGAAGACCCCAGATGTCCAGGTCACACCCCTGAAAATTTTCTGGGTTCGAGACCCAGGCATGGGTGTTAATGCTCCTCATGCGATGACAAAGTACAGTCAAGATTGAGAACCACTGGCTTAGAGGACATTCTGAAGTCAGGCTCTTCACCTTTGACAAAACCTCAGTACAATTAAAGGTGTCAGTTCAACTCATTGTGCTTAAAAAAGAAAGAAAGAAAGAAAGAAAGAAAGAAAGAAAGAAAGAAAGAAAGAAAGAAAGAAAGAAAGAAAGAAAGAATGAGCCATGTTTAAGACATCCTCCATCAGGCATTGCCTTCAAGGCAGGGTTGTCATGAAGCATTTGACTCAGAAAGGACTCAACTGTATTGCCACAACAGTCTTTGTACTTGAATGAGTATAATACCAACCGCAGTGCCCATGGCCTTTGCCTTTACTATTATTACCTACTGTATATTATACTCACTGTGATTCCAACTGTCCAGCTATTGTCAGCAGTTAACCCTTCTATGGTGTGAATTGTCCCTTGGGAACAAGTGTCTCCTGCACCTGAAATCACAAAGCAGGCTGGAAACTAGCTCCCAAAGGGTCTGGGAATATTGTGTCCATGCCCATTGTATGAATGGCGAGAGATTTGAAAGGCATTGGATGGCAGTACTGCTGAATGAAAGACGAAAGGTTTTCTTTTACAATTGTCTACTTTATAACACTGAAGAATGGCTATGGAGTTTGTCTGGTGTCAAACTTGGATCAAGGGATCATGTAGATGTTACTTTGACTAACTGTTCTTACGAGGAGATCGAAAAAGATCTTAGATATTAAAATGGTTCATGACCTTCTAAAGGACCACAGTGCATAAAGAGATACTTAGTATGTGTTGAGTTTTAAAACTTTATGGCTTTGGGTGGTAAAAATTATTTAAATGGTTCCAGGGTGGGGGAATGATAATGAATGGAAAGTTGAGAAACAGTCTCTTAGAGGAATGACACTTTAGGGTAGACCTGTGTCTACTCTAAGGTGCTCTGGTAGCTATCCGCAAGGTCAGTGTTTCAAATCTACCAGCCAGGACACATCCTTGAATTATACACCAAACAACTATTTTTAGAAATGTTGTTTAAAAAACAATCAAAATACAAATATATAAAAGTATATAAGGTTCTAGAGAGGCAGTGACACCAGAGATAGAGGCAGAAACGGGGACATGGAGAGAGGCTCATGGAGCTGAGGACTCTAGACTCATGGAAAGAGAAAGGCTGTGTGCTGACGGCCAGGAGGCAGGCTTGCAGAATGTGTGCTTTAGTTGTTTATATGATTATATATTCCTGCGTGTTTTTGTGTACATCTGCCCCCCCCAAAAAAAATAACCAAACAACAGAAGGAATGGAAGCAAATACTATTGAATGATGATGCACAGAGCAGATTAGATTGTAATCATTGCAATGAAAGTATGAGTATAAAACTGATGTGCTCACATGTAAACTATCACTCAATTAATAATAAAAACTTGGGGGGAAAAAAAGGAAGAATTGTTAAAAAAAAAAAAGTACATGGGGTTCATTTGTGCAGCTATTCTGCATGCATACAGGTAGACTACTTTGTTAAAAATAAAAAAAAACTGAAATAATGGTTAAAAATACAGAGGGGTTACAAAGACGCTTTGAAGGCGATAGAGAAGGAAGCTGACTGCAAGTTAACCATTGACTAGTTTTAACATGATCCATGGGATTATACCCACCTTAAGGAGCTCTGGTAGCGTAGTGGGTACAAATCGGGCTGCGAACCTTAAGGTCAGCGGTTTGAAACTACCAACCACTCCACGGGAGAAAGATGAGGCTTTCTGCTCCCGTAAAGATTTACACCCTCGGAAACCCTGAACAGGGTCGCTATGGGTCGGAACCAACTCGATGGCACTTAACAACAACAACAACAAAGCTCAGCTAGTGTCAAGCTGCTACTTCTAGTTGGTTCCAAGTCATAGTGGGTTACCGAGTAGCGCCTGGTATTCATTTGAACTGCTCACCTTGAGATTCAAACCAATCTTGCAATCCAGTGCTGGTGGTGGGTGGTGGTGGTGTGCCGTGGAGTCGGTTCCAACTCAGAGTGATCCTGTATAGGGTTTTCGAGGCTGTAAATCTTTATGGGAGCAGAAAAGCTTATCTTTCTCCCACAGAACAGCTGGTAGTTTCAAACTGCTGACCTTGAGGTTAGCACCCCGGCTCATAACCACTATGCTACCAGAGCTCCTTGCAGTTCCATGCTATAAGCAGGGAATTCCAAGTGTTATCTCAGGAACAAAGGGAAATTACCTAAAGTTAAATTCTTTGCATGAGATAAATTTTAAATGGGTTCATGGTTAGCAGTTGTCTTATCTGAGAGGGGGTTTGCAATACTGTGATTACCACCTCTCCATGTTATTTTAATCGATCTGTTTAGGTGCATTTCACATTGGTCAGGGACCTTTGTGGCGATTTCTCTGCATTCAGAGGACTCTGTTAATTCCTGTTCCTCAGTTTCTCTTGTAATATTGCAGAAACAGAGGTTCATAGAGGAGGGGTGACTTGACCATAAATAGGCAACATGGCCATGTCAATTTCTCTCCTCAGATTTTAGGTTCCCTTCTTGGAATATGAGCGTTTTAACTAGCTCGTCTTTAAGGACTTTTCTACTGATGGGTTGATGAATTCAGTTTCCCTTTTTGGGAAAAGAAGGGCTTAGCTTGGATAATCTTTAAGGATTTTTCCAGCTGTGGGTTAATGAGTGAAACATCTCTTTCAAAGATCAGAATGTAAAAATTCATTTCCAAAGGAAAGTGCGAGAGAGAACGGAGATCGTTTACATATATACATACAGGTTTTCATGAAATCACTTTGAACTGGGCAGGCACCAGTATTTTCCCATAGCAGCTTAAAGAAAGGAAACCACAGATTTCCTGAAGTACATAAAAGCTGAAGAACATTTATTGTAAAGAGAGTCATTACTACAGAAGATTGTGTCGGACCCGTAACTCATCATTTTATAGTTGCAGTTAATCCTCTCCTAGAGACAGCTACTCTGCCATTGTGAAAATTGAAGCCTTCACCGTTGCATGGGAAATATTTTGATAAAAGGTATACAAGAAAATTAAAATAGCTAAATCTGCCTTACATGGGTTTTTTGCATAAAATACCTTATTAGTGGAATTCTTACATCTAGCTATCAAAAACTGGAAATGTTAAATACCGTTATAAAATACTCCCCATAAAAGTGTCATATATAATATTCATTACACATAAAAAAGAAATCAGTTCAATCATGACCATTATCAGGGCTAAAACCTTTTGCAATAAAATTTTACTGAACTAAAATATTTAGTGGTGCTATATTTTTGGCTTTTTGACACACTATTTCAGACCATCATTTACTATGAAAGTGATGTGATTATTGTCAACAGTCATAAGACAGCTTCCCATTTCTCATGACAATAGCATCAATTTGTAGCTCTTCTTCTGGAGGCGCGGTCCATGTGCTCCCAGAGAGTTTGAAAGCCAAGACTGTGTGTGTTCGTCGTTGTCCACGAGGCTCATAAAAAGCAGACCTTCACTGCAGGCTTTGTCTATAGGAAACCAGGAGGATTAGTCAGGTTAGTAAGCTTAATGACTAGAAACTCCTTAAGGCAGTGATTTGGATTCTAGTCTATGTAATGATAACAACAGTAACATCACAAACCACCGCCATACCGGGACTATGTTTTTTGTTGTTGTTTGTTTTATTTATTCTTTTCACTCATTCTCCTATAACATAACAAAACAAAACAAAACTTAAAACCAGTTACTTAGTTGTCATTACAAATTAATTTTAATTACAAATTAATTCATTGTCATCTCTCTGTATCGGTGTTTCTTCCTTGGCATTAATGGCATTAGGGTCTGATCATTCCTACTTATTGGGCTATTCCGTGTATTGTAAGATGTTTACTAGCATCCTTAGCCTTTACCCACAATGCCAGTCTTTGTGGCAACATAAACATTGCCAGACATTGCCAAATGTTTCCAGAGGACCAAATTGTCTCCTTGTTGAGAACTGTCCCTCTACATGGAGAAGAGAGAATACCATGCTGACCAGTCATCTTCCTTTTTCAGTTTGAGAAATTTGGCAAAGCTGTCAACTACGCCGATGCAGCCCTCTCCTTCACTGAATGTGGCAACGCCATGGAACGCGATCCCCTGGAAGCGAAGTCTCCGTACACCATGTACTCCGAGACTGTGGAGCTGCTCAGGTTAATGGCCTTTCTGTAGTCCGCTTCCTGAGCTCACTTCAGTCATAATTAGAACTCACTATGGCTTAAATAATATCATTTCAACATATTAATGCTTTGTCCAAGGCATCTTCTTCTTAGAAGTCATCATAATTAATTCTGGCCATTTAATGAATGTCATAGAAAATTTATAATTGATGGACACTGCTTTTAGAAAGTATCCTTTTCAGAGGCTATAATGTGAGTGTTTTAATTTTCAGTATTCATAAAATTAAAATTGAAAACAGAGTGCGTGGCAGTGAAGTAGACTCCTTTGGCATTGACATTTGGCTTTCCAAAGGTGTTGTTTGATAATCTAGAAACAGAAAAAGTGGTGCAATCAGAATTTCTATCTTCAACCACATTTTCTAGGAATTTCTTTCTCAGTTGGCATTTAATTCTAAGTTGGCATTTAAGGCCAGAGGTATGAAGTAGACTTCCCCTGGATGTGGAATTTGAGGGAGACAAGTAGGCAAGGATACAGAGGATGAACAGATGGGAGTTGTTGTTGTTAAGTGCTGATAAGTTTGAACCCCGGACACTGTGGTCCAGTGCATTATCTTGCAGCACCACACCAGGATGAGGATTGGAAAGCGTTTATAAATTACTCAGCTTGTTGGTTTCATTTACATTTGAAATGGAATTCTCTGGCCTATTAGTCTTGGTGGAGAGTTTTGGGGTATTCAGAACTTTCAAGAAGATAAAAAAAAAAAAAAAAGGAGATGGAGAAGAAGAAATAATATCTATTTGGTATTACCCAGGGTTTCTGTGAGTCAGAACTGACTTGACAGCAGTTGAAAACAACAACAACAACATAGAGTGGAGAAGTCCCATTTTTCACTGGATGGACAAAATTACTGCTTTTGATTGAGTGAGCAGTTCTTTACCTGAAAGCCCCTGACATGTTTGTCATCCTCTGGGTCTAGTATCTAGAATGCCAGACCTGTTTTTCATTCTATTGCTTGTATCTGCATAACTGTTATGAGTCTGGAGCTACTAATACTGAAACCTTCAGATAGACATTGGGAAATTTTAGTGTATACATTTTCCTCCTAAAAAGAAAAGGAAAAAGAAGAAGAAAATCAGTAGGATCTTGTCGTTGTTGTTATGTGCCATGGAGCCGGTTCTGACTCATAGCGACCCTATACAGGGTTTCCGAGGCTGTAAATCTTTACAGGAGCAGAAAGCCTCATCTTTCTCCCGCGGAACAGCTGGTAGTTTCAAACTGCTGACTGTGAGATTAGCAGCCCGATTCGTAACCACTACGCTACCAGAGCTCCTTGATCAATAGGTAGAGATAAGTAAAAGAAAAATTAAAATAGAAAATGTTGTTCACATAGGACCAGAAGACTCAATGAAATCCACAAAAGAAGGGAAAGTGATGAGGGGAAAGTCCAGCCTTGGACTCATCTTTCACTTAAGTGATGCTCTGAGAAGTCAGTCCCAGAAAAGAGTGCAAAGCCATTCTCCCCAACTTCCTTCATTTGTTGTGGGAGCTACCACAGCCATTCTGTATCTCTTAAGGCTAGATTGATTTTTCAGTGTCTATTCAAGCTGACCGGCAATTTTCAAAGATGAGAATGAAAGATGAAAATGCTGAGCAAAAACGATAAGGAATCAAAATTGAACAAGCCAGGAGAAAATGCATTCTCTAATCAACCAGAAATGCCAATTAAAATAATGTACTTCTTTAAAATCATAAGACAATTTTGAAATGTTAATACTCAGTGTTAGCCAAACAAAACCAAAAAGAGAATGTGGTGAACTAGGCTTAAACTGCTGAGACATGTGTAAAGCGATCCTTGTCAATTGCAGGCAGTTTGGCATTGTGTAGAATAAATCCTATAAGTAGGTATTCAACTTTTGATCCTGTAATTCAGCTTCTAGAAATTTGAATTTCCTGTACTAAAGGAAGTAATCGAAAAAAGTAGAACAAGCTATCTGTTCAGTGTTCATTTGGTCATTATACAGTTCCACCAAAAAATAAAATTTAATCAAGTAATCAATACCAGAAGACTAATTCATTACATTGTAGTATCCTATTAGAATCCTTTACAGCCATTGGAATGTGACAATTAGTCAAATTCTGAAATCCCATGGAAATGCTAATGATAAAATGTTAAAGTATAAGAGAGCTGCAGAGTAATATGTAATTATGGCATGAGAAACACGTGTCTGCATCTAGAAGACCAAACTGGAGGGGCAAGAAATCCTAGCTGCCATACCATGTGGTACAGAATAGAACTGATCCATGGGGTTTCCTTGGAAGCAGATTGCCACTCATAGCCGCTAAAAAACTATGGATGTTTTCCCTCTCTCTGGTGTTTTTTTTTTTTTTTTTTCTCATTCATTTTACTTTATGAAAATACATGCTTTTATGAACATAAAAGCAAGAAGCCAAATTTCATTTTACAGGGAATATGTAATAAACTCATTTCTTTCTTTTAGAAAACACTTGTTTTCCCTTAATCATTGGCAGAAAAACTTCTTTCTAAGCCTGGTTTTCTTTTCATTATATGACATTTGCCTCCCTATAGGAGTACCTCAATGGAATTTGATAGACATCAGAGAATGTATGAACTTTCACTTAAAGTCAATATTTTTAAACTTTTGGGTTTTGAGGTAATGGTAGATTCTCATGCAGTCAGTCGTAAGGGACAACACAGAGGGGGTCTCTTGTCTACCCTTCTCACAGTCTCTGACTTAAGTAAGACATTACAACTGAGAACAGTGTTAGGAGACTATCCACTGACCTCACTGAAATTGTCTCAGCATTGCATACACACGTTATATGCATGTCCCCTTTCTCTGTTAATTTTTTTTTTCTTTCTTGAAAGTGTGTATGATTCTTTTTAATGAGCAAAATTTCCATTGAGAATAAAAGGAGTGAAAGCCACTAGGTCTTCTAGTCCATTTAAGCAGTGGAACCTGCAGTAGCAAGTCACAATGAGTGTGGCAGCAATTAGAGGGCGACTGTAATGGGACTATAGTTTTTAGTAGCACAATATTATGTTGAAAAGAGTTTTATTACTCTCCCTGACAGAGTGCTAGCTACAGAGAAAGCCCCCATTTTCTTTGTTCAAGTAATTATCCGTTCCTTGGAGCCTTGGGAATCTGCAATAGAATGTGTTTGTGAAACCGAGTGGGCCATCACAATGACTTGACATTCCAGCGATCCAACTGTCAAAGCAAGTTAGATTTATTACATAATAAAAATCCCTTTACCTAATATTGTGAACACAGAAGGGACTCAATCAAGTGCTTGGGTCCTTTTGTGTGAAAATGTTCACTCCAAAGAACAGGAGCCCTAAGGACAGCAGGTGGTAAGATGCTAAGGAGGCCCAGTCTTGGCTGGTGAGCCTGAGGGCTCAGGCTCTGGGCAAGGGGCTGATGGAAATGAGGAGCTCCCTGCAGCTCCCCATCACCTTAGAAAGGAGAAGGGGGCCAGGCAGCCTGCTCACGTTCAACTTCCTTATGCAACAGTGAGCCCCATTACTTATTCTACTGCAAGTACCTGTGAAATTGCATTAAAGCTCAGACAATGATTTTATGCAATGAATTGATTTTCAAGAGCCTAAATGCTCAGAATGGAATGTGCTCAGTTAGAAGGGGAAAATACTCAACCTTTTATCACCCCAGTGTGGAACAGTAACAATTAAAAAGAATGGAAAGACAAAATATACAAGCACCATAAATTAAGGGTGCTTAGACCTTAAAATGCTGTGAAATTGACCTTCCTTGGAAGAAAACAAAAGCACTTTCTAGAAGAATGTATTGGAAACCAAGCATTAGAACAGACCTTTTAAGTGAGTGATTGAGATCTCCCCATGCTCATGTCAGGCATAGTTGTATATTATTTACCTCAACTGTCATAAATTGAACTGAGACTGACATTTTGCCCACCTCTTAATGGAAATTAATAATGTTATTTAGTTAGAGTATTCTAGAAACAGTATTTTGCAAGCATTTATACACATGCAAAATATTAATCCCCCAGCATTGTCCTGGGACTGAATTCCACATGCCACCTAGTTCTTATTGTGGCATGGACTCGATTACTATTTTGTATGTTTTCAGGAAGCATGCTTTTGGCTACATGTTCCTAGCCAGTCTTCCCACCTAGAGCAAATTTGGGGGCTCACTCATATAGTTGATCAGAATGCAAATGACTTTGGGAATGTCCAAAGGGTAAAACAAATCCCCACTTTAGCTTTTGCTTTCTCTTCAAAGGTATGCAATGAGGCTGAAGAACTTTGCCAGCCCCTTGGCTTCAGATGGGGACAAAAAGCTAGCAGTATTATGGTGAGTCCCATGGAGGTCGGAGGGAAACAGCAGAAACTTAAGCTGCTTTCCCTAGATGTTGTTGTTGTTGTTAAGTGCCATCGAGTCGGTTCCGACCCATAGTGACCCTGTACAGGGTTTCCGAGGGTGTAAATCTTTACGGGAGTAGAAAGCCTCATCTTTCTCCCGCGGAGCAGCTGGTAGTTTCGAACCGCTGACCTTAAGGTTCACAGCCCGATTCGTAACCACTATGCTACCAGAGCTTCCTAGATGAGTATTTGGGATTTCTATTAATGGCTAACTAATGGGTTTCTTTAGAGTCCTGGTGTGATGCTGCGGGGTAAGCACTAGACTGATAACCACAAGGTTCACAGTTTAAACCCACCAGCCACTCCTTGGAAACCCCATACAGGGTCCCTGTGAGTTGGAAACAACTCCAAGGCACTCAACAACAATGGGTTTCCTCAGTTGTCAACTACACATGTACCCTTCTCTTTTCAAGATGAGATTTTAATGCTTCCCCCCTTCCCATTTTCCTTTTTTCTTACGTATGTATGTTCCTCGGTCTATCTAATCCTAGGACAGTCACTACACAAATATGTGTCATCATTTTTTGGTACAGCTTATAGGTTTCATTACAAACTTGCATTAACAAAATCCCTTCCTCATGCCCACAGCTACCGCTGTTTATCACTGCTCTACTTGAGAATGTTCAAACTGAAGAAGGACCATGCTATGAAGTACTCCAGATCACTGATGGAGTATTTTAAGGTAATCCTTATTTTGTGGAATTGAGATATGGAGGGTGAATAAAATCACTAATGAGACAGGATAGACATGTAACATAATGCATAGAGACCACAGCTTATATTTGGTGACCAGGGCAGATGTCAGGGGAAAATGAGTTACCGCTTAAGAGGCACTGTTAAGGGTGATTGGAAACTTTGGAAATGTTTAGTGGTGATGGTTGTACAACGTGGTGAATGTAACTAATGTTTCTGACTTGTACCTTTAAAAATGGTTGAAAGGCAAAGGCATTTTACCATAGTTAGTTTATATCTATTTTTAAAGCCAATAATTAAAGGCAATGTTGCTGCCAAACGCTGTACCTCCTTCAGCGTGGCCAGTCGTGGTGCAGCCACCTCTTCTTCAGGACTCAACGAAGAGCTTACTTGTTTGACTTGGTTCCCTGACAGAGATTGTGCAATGGCGGGATCCCCTGACTGTTGTTCAGTGTGACCACGTGGCATTAGGCAGCTTCCTGGGTGTAGTTAGGGGACTCTGCATGGTGGACCCCACAGAGATTTTGTGGCTGTTGGTATGGCCAGTCATCTGTTAAGAAAAAGGCCATCCCAGGACTTTCTCAGCAGCAAGAGAGGGCACAAGAGCCACCATGGGACTCTGGGAGAACATGTATATTCCTGAAAGTGCTTTGGACATAGGGAGTCATGGGGTGCAGCTGTTGCACTATATGATAACTGATTGCCTTAGTCACCAAAATCCATCCATCCATCACCAATCAGTCCATCATCTATCAGCTGGCATTTTTAATGTGCAGCCTAAAAAAATACAGTTCGACTACAAAATGTGGAGATGAGCCCAGATAAAAATTGCATTTCTAATAAGTACAATAACCAGGTGACACGAGGCTGCTGGTCTTATGGGCCCACTGGAGAGCCAACCTTTTGCCCCCCTCAGCCTCTGCCCTGCATAGCTTCCAAAACACCTGACAGGTATAAAGTCAGTCATCATCTGCTTGGAGGTTCCATTTTAGAGTCTTCAGGACACCGCTCTGTGGGTCTAGAGGAGTGTTAGAGTCTCACTGGACTCCTCTCAAACACCACAGTATGCAAACACACAGTATGCAAAGAACCCAAGAGGCTGTGACTTCTGAAAGGCTCAGTGGAGACTCAAGCTGGTGATGCCAGGACACTGAGTTCCTCACTGTCTTCTCAGAGCAGTGCTGAGTCAGGTTTCCTGCTGCTCTCCAAATGTGTGGCCACAGAGAAGCAGGAGGCGGAGGTCCATCAGAGGAAAGAGACAGACTTAGATAGATTTCCATTGCTGCAGCGCTACCACAGGACATTGATGGGCTGTTCTGTAGTGAGGATTCACCCATACAAATAAACTCACAAACACTGCTACTGGGCCCGGACACAGCCCTGAGCTATCAGAAATTACCACCTCACCCCACCCCACCCCACCCCACCCCCATTTCAGGGAAAAAGTTTGCAACTGGAGCGAAAAGGTGAGACGCTGTCTTGTACTCTGAAGAGCTTGTTTTGCAGAATAAATTTCAGATGAGGATAATTAAACCACTTCTTGGAGAACTGAGTCTGATTTCACTGGGCCTTTTTGTAGATAAGATCTTTCATCAAGTGACTTTCATGGTCCTGATTGGAGCCCACTCATTATCCTAACCAGCTATTTTCCTCGAGTGTGTGCCGGGGTGTGCTGACGCACACATCCATCCTAGCACGGCGAATAGAACAGGAGGCCTCCCGAAATGCTGCAATCAATATTAATGTGCTTCAAATCACACTTCCATCTGTTTCTGAATTAATAAAACGCAAAATAGATGTCCTTATTTCCCTCTCTCTCTCTCTCCTCTCTTTTAGCAAAATGCTTCAAAAGTTGCTCAGATACCATCTCCGTGGGTAGGCAATGGAAAGTGAGTATCTTATGAAAATTGCTTGTTTCATGAAAATGAGTGACTAATGGACCCCACATATTTTGCATTGACAACTCAGGAGTGCAGGTCACTCTGGTGCATGTAAAATTTCCAGCAGGTTTCTCCTCAGGGCAAAAAAGAAAACTTATGATAGCGATGAGATACCAAATTCTTCCTTGAAGCCCATTGATACCATAAAAAGATTCCATTAATGAGATAGCAAGCACCATGCCATTTAAGGAAGGCCTAGTTGAGTTAACCTCCACTGAAGTGGGTTTTCAATGATTCACTCAGTAATGAACGACCAATGAAATGGTCATTGATATATGGTAAGTGCTGTTTAATAAAACCTGAGGCATAATAGTTCTGAAACTGTGAAGGCACTTAGCCAATTACCTGACCTTTCCTGTTGATTTTTATATCGATACTAAAATGGAGGCGCAATGGAATCCCACTCCCAGGACCTGAGTTTGAATGCTCTATGCTTGTGGGGTGGGGTTTCTGGTGTAGCGCTGTAGGTAGGATAAGCGTTGGACTGTGAACCAAAAGGTCGGTGGTTCAAACCCACTGGCTGCACCTTGAATCGGAATCAACTTGATGGCAGCCATGGTGTAGGAGTCAGGAAGTCTAGTGACCTAGTTCTGAGACTGTGCTAGGCCACAGGGACAGCATGGTAAGCCCCTTCCTGTTTCTGGGTTGGTTTCTTGAGCTCTAATGGGGAAAGGAGCTCTGGTAGCGTAGTGGTTACGAATCGGGCTGCGAACCTTAAGGTCAGCGGTTCGAAACTACCAGCCGCTCCGCGGGAGAAAGATGAGGCTTTCTACTCCCGTAAGGATTTACACCCGCGGAAACCCTGTACAGGGTCGCTATGGGTCGGAACCGACTCGACGGCACTTAACAACAACAACAACAACAATGGGGAAGGACTTGACCCAGTGCTCTCTGAAGCCTAAAACAGAGCTCTTTTGTGAGGTGGATTTAAATCCACTTCTATCTCCTCTGGGAGCTGGTTCTATGCCTTTGCTCAGCTTTGTTGAGCATCAGCCTGCCATGCCCCAATGCCTCTCATGCCACTTTGCTACTCTAGGCCTCCCAGGCTTGCTTCCCAGAGGAAGTCAGATGGTGGAACCAGCCTTTCTGCAGAAGTCTGTTTTCTGACTCCAAGCTGTTTTGTGTGTGTGGTTTTTTTTTTCAAATTTCTGTCATTTCAAAATCCTTGCATCGCTGATCCAAACACTTCCTTCAAGAGTAAACTAGTTGCCACTGCCACTTTATAAACAATTACAAAGCATACTCCAGTAGCGGTGGGATGATGGACCCTACTTTGAGTTCATAAAAATGTTCAGAGTGAGGGGACAGAGCCAATAAAAGTGGTGGTATCTCACAATGTCTGTGCTGAAAGGAAGCACCCTTTGCATTGGGCCCAATAACAAATAAAAGGAAGGCTGATTCTCTCAGAAAGTTAAGAAAATCAAAATAACCATTGAAAGGCCCCAAAGAAGCTATTTTCTCAGAGCAAGTAGTTAAAGGAAGGGCGGCAAGGCCAGGTAAACAGCCATTAAAGGATTACGGGAAGTTTGTTTCTTTCCTTTTTTTAATAGTTTTTGGAAAAAAAAAAAAAAAAAAAACAAAGAAATCAGAAAAAAAAAAAAATCCTAAAGCTTGTGAAGTCACATTAAAAGCCTCTTGTTCTGAAATATTTAAGTGGTGCTATGGGTTAGACGTTGGGCTGCTCCTATAAAAATTGATAGCCTCAGGTACCCTAAGGAACAGTCCTACTCTATCCTATAGGTTTGACTATGAGTCATAATCTATTCATCGGCAGTGGATTTGTTTTTCGATTTTCTGTCTGAAGAAAGCATGCTTCCTTTGGCATGTCATAAAGTTTGGGGTGAGGCAACTTGAAACAGTCTCCCAATACTCCATTGTATTCATTCAGAAAGTACACCATAGGTGGAGGTGCCCCTTTGGTGCTAGGACCCTGACGAAGTACTGGGAACTCAAGCTTAATAAGGCCCAATCCCTGAACTCCAGAACCACACAGCCTATTGGAGGTAACCAGAAGAAACTCGATGAAAACCCCAGAAAAAGCAAGCGCCATCTCTCTGTTCCCCCAGGGGTGAGGATGGCTGGTCTCACACTGGCCTCTCACAGTGTCTTCTAGGAGCTGCAGCCCCTGACCCCAAGCCTTCCTCAGCTGACTGGCGTCTGGAAGTCAGTGGCACCAAGGCAGCCCTGGTGGCTCTTTCCATGGATGAGTGAATGGAAAGAGTGACAGAGGGGTAGGGGTGAAGAAGGAAACCTGGCCAAGAATCAGTTGAAAGGGGAAGAAAATTCAGCTTAGTAAATGGTAGAAGTCAGCAAAGCGTTTCTGTCAAGGACTATATAGTATATATTCTGGGCTTTGTGGACCCAGGGCAAGATTGAAGCTGTTATGTAGGTACTTAGCTGTATTAGAGGAAGTCCTGGTATTTCAGTGGTTAAGCACTCAGTTGCTAACTGAAAGATGGGTGGTTTGAGCCTGAAGCAAACCCAGGCCCAAGATCTCCCAAGGTCTTGCCTACACTGCTGATTGTATAGAAAAGAAGTGAAGAATAGGAGAGAAGGAAAGCATGGGATAGGATGGGAAAGGACGAGAAGGCAAATAAGGGGAAGGAAAGAAAAAAGAAGGAAATGGCTAGCAGGAGGGAAAAAATGGTTTTCACTGTAGCCCCTCACTGTAGCCCCTCAATAGGACTTTAGTGTTATAAACTAAAAAGGAATTTTTGAGAAATAAGAGGCAAAGAAGAGGTCATTTGGTTTCCCCTGTGACTTCTGGACCTGATGGGAAATCATTGAATCCTGCCTTTACTTTTATTTATGTATTTATGTATGTATGTATGTATGTATGTATGTATGTATGTATGTATGTATTCATTTCTTAAAGTTTTTATTGTGAATTGAGTGAGAGTTTACATGGGAAAACATCAATTTTGCACTCAACCAATCACATTTTGTTTCATTGCAATGTTTGGAATCCCCTCCATGCATCATCATTTAACAGTATTTGCTTCTATTCCCTGTGGTGTTTTTGTTTGTGTTTTGATTTTATATACACAAAACACTCAAGAATATATAATCATTTAAACAGCCAAAGGACACATTCCAGAGGCTAGCCTGCCTCCTGGCCGCCAGCACTCAGCCGTTCTCTTTGCATGAGTCGAGTCCTCAGCTGCTCATTCTCTCCATGCCATCACCTCTGCCTCCATCTATGGTGTCCCTGCTTCTTTGGTTAGGGTCCTACATTCTTCTCATGCTCTTCTCTCTTGATAGCCCTAGGGCCCTCTGTTCCTGGAATGTAAGATTAACTATTCCCCCTTTACATTACAAAACTTCTACCTGTACGGTTGTGACAGTCGCATTTAGTCATAATAACAGTTATTCACTATTGAATCAAAAGAATCCTATCCCCATCTCCATCTAGACAAGATGAAAACTATTCAGTGGGGATTCTACCTTCCCCACACACTCTGAAACTCAAGTCCCTCTTGAAAACTTGTAAGCCAACCACTTCATGCATTTATAACCCTCTCCCACCCTTACCCTCCATTTTACGTAGCCAATGTCTAAGTTACCCATCCCTATCAAACCTGCATACGGAGGGAATAGGCTTGAATCTTGATGTGAAGACTCCTTCCCTCTCAGTTGGTATTTTGAGCTACTGTATTCATAAGTATAGTAGGTCAAGTTCATAAAATTGTTGCAATTTACTCTTGATTCTTTTATCAAACCTCTTAATCTTCCTCTAGTTGAGTTCTGATCATCACGTCATCCGAGCTAGGTCAAATGGGTACAGTAGGCTAGTTAGGGTGTTCTTGTGTATCTTCCCCACTTCATATCAGCTGGATACTTCACTATCAATTCTAGCCCTCTGTAGCTAGGTCAATGTCCATGGGCTCAGGAGTTGCCAAGTCTCCCCAATCTTTGGACCAATCAGTCCTTGCTTTTCTCCCTCTCATCACAAGGTTGACAGGAGTCTATGAAACGTGGTCTAACTCAGCCCATATCTTCATTACTGACTTTCCCGCACTTCCACTCACATGTAGACCAACATAGTCGCCAGCTAGCTTACATGCCTGCTTGTGTGTTCCCTTTGGGTTTCAGTCTTGTATGGGGGTTTGTCCTAAAGAAACTTGATTACTTGCCTTGATGACTCCCCAACCAACAGGTTGCTTATTCTTGTAACAGCCAAACAGACTGCCAGTTTTTTGTTTTTTCCTGCTGGTCTTTCTTTCAGGACTTATCTTCTATTCATCTAGCCACTCCTGGGCCAGTCTGCATGTCTTCTCAAGTAGTGATATCCCACCTTAGAAGGCTCTGAGTAGGGCTCAGGATTCCACCTAAGGTCCTATACATTACAAAGGCCCCACAAAAAGCCTATTTCACTCAGCAAGTTCTAGAACCCCTTTCAGGTATTCCAGTCAGTTATAGGCTGAAGACAGGCTTCCAAGCTTTCTGTAATCATGTTTCCCAATATTCCTTTCTATCCCACTCAAGTGTCTATTTTACAATAGTAGGTAAGGGAAACCCATATCCATAAGACAGTCAAGCATCTTAACATTAGGTTTACTCTTTTGCCCATTCAGACTATGTCTCGATCCCTGTATCACAGAGCCCTCTTATTCCAAGGGTGAGCACACATCACTATTTACCTCTGTCTCATTTAGCCCATGCAAACCTACCTAAGTGTTCCCCTATAAACCTTGTTCTTCCATCCCCCTCCCCCCTTTTGTGTGTTCCCCTCCTCTACCTTGTATATTGCCTTCACCAATACCCAAACTATGATGTGTCTATTCCCTAACCTATGATGTGTCTATCCCCTAACCTGCACTCTACCATCCCCTCCCTCCTACCCCACCCCGCCAGCAACCAACAAATAATTTTTTTTTTCTTTTAGTATGGGTATCTTTTGTTAAGCTTTCACAATAATGGTCTTAGCAATATCTGTCCCTTTGTGACTG